CCATCTCCACCATCATTGCTCAGGAGGAAAAAAGATATAAAATAAAAAATAACAAAGAGTTTTCTGAACCACCTCCTATATAATGAATACATTTTGAAAAAAACATAACAAGGTTCTTATCAGAAAACGAATAAAGAATGAAAGAAACGAGCCTTTAGCACTGATGCGCCTAAATGAAAATGCATAGGAGAAAGAAAACTTAATCCAGCAGATGTTCTACAGAGCGTTCATACCTCAGCATAAAAAACACGCCCACATCTTCATGGAAAGGTGCCATGACTTGGTGTTATGTTTCTTCCTGCTGGGTGAGTCTGCATGTGCATCCATCCCTGCTGCTAAAACAAACAGCTGTTCTGTGGAAAACGGAACAAAGCCGTTCATCGTGTCTGAGTCTGTAACGCAGGTCAACTAAATATCTGTTCAGGTCAACAAAGCTTTAATGATTAGAAAAATACAGGAATTATTGCCCATCAGCAGCGTCTGTCTTTATGTAGGGAAACACTGTTTATGCAGAGGTCTGTATGTATACCTGGTTTATTTAATTATCATGTATCACTTAAGGCATCACACCTGCTTATAGATATGCTTAAAAATGGTAAACTGGAGGATGTGACAGTGTCAGGAAGAATAGCTACTGCTTTTACTCAGTAGCTAATGGGGATCTAAGTACATAAACAATAAACAGTGTCAATATATATATATATATTTCCTCCAGGTACTTTTCATGAAAGATAGATTCATATCTTAAATATTCAAACAAATCTACTTAATTTGACTGATTCCAATAAATTTCAGTACATTCTAAAACAATCATGTATGTTCAGTGTAAAGCACTCGCATCACTTTTATGATGCCAGTTAGACTGTTTTCTTTCCAATGCAGTGAAAGGGGTTACATCAGTAACTGACTTTTTACCAATCCCTCCTACAGAGCAGGCTTGGTGGGGCAGCAGACATGGATGACTTTAGCTTTACGGGCAGAAACTTTCAGCAGACCAGAACCAGAATCGGTCATAATTGTTCTCTGGTGTTACCGGTCTGGTTAACCGACTGGTAAATAGGAGCCTGGCAGCATGAGAGCTGGGTTCAACCAGATGCTAAGAAAAATGC